ATTTTCACGCTTCTACAATGTAACATGTTGTTCAGTGTTTGTTGGTTCAGTAAAAAAGGGGCTAAAACCATTAAGTGTGAGGTATCTAACTGCAAAGTGGCTACTTTGCACACTTGCTAATGCTTATGTGGTTTAAGGTGATATTTCTGCTCTTCCTCTGAAACAGGAAGAAGCAGAGACACTGCAAGAAGTGACCAGGTCCTCTCATGCACATGCAATCTGCTATAGATATGATTTACCCTCTGATTCTCTCTGGGATTTTACTTCACATCACAGGTGAACAATTATAATACTCTCTAAATGGCATTATTAAACTATTGTATGATCTTTTTTTAACTTCAATTGTTAAAATTGTTTAACTTGAATTCTTTAAGCTAGTAATTGTTCACTATTGCAACTTTTCCATAATGTGCAGTTTATGGATGTTTACATCTTTCCCTACTCTTAATCTTGTCCACAGATGGTGCTGGAATTCAGACAATGAATATCAGAGTGAAATCTCGATCACCTGGAATTATTCCATGTCTGTATGATAAAAAACATAAAGAAAACCGTAAATACTGGTGTAAGGGGTCACATTTGGTCTCTTGCAGTATATTGGCATATGCAAATGAGACAGGAAAATATTCCCTCACTGATTATCCAGCCCAGAGTATTTTTACAGTGCAATGGAAGAATATGAAGACCTCAGACACTGGATATTACTGGTGTGCTGTGGAGATCGGTGGCAAAAGAGACGCTGGTTATTATTTGTATCTGAGGGTACAATCAAGTAAGAATATTGTTACCAAATTGTGCCTTTTCTCTGAGAAAAATGTTTATGCATTTTACTGAAATATAATAATGTAGCTATAAGTAATATTATAAGTAATGTAAAAGGTTGTTGTTGGGTTATGTGTGATATATATTTATTATTGTACACATAAATAAAGAAAAACCGAAATGTCACTGACATGACACGGCAGTGACTAATGAAAAGCAGCGGCGCACATTATACAGTGCAAGTTTAGTTTATGTTAAAGTAAGCACCAGTATACTTGCAGTAATAAATGAAAACTAATAATAATAATAAATAAATAAAACATACATACAACTACTTGAGTTTATACCACTACACCCATAAATACTTAGTTTTGAGAGATGAACTAAAGATTTTGAGCAAGCTTTTCTGGTAATCCATTGTGTGGTGCAGTTTGTAAGAGTTGTTTGAGAAATGTACTTACTGGTTTGCAAATGTTAAAGGGGTCATATGATGCGATTTCAATTTTTCCTTTCTCTTTGGAGTGTTACAAGCTCTTGGTGCATAAAGAAGATATGTAAAGTTGCAAAGACTAAAGTCTCAAATCCAAAGAGATATTCTTTATAAAAGTTAAGATTCAGCCACACCTACCTAAAACGGCTCGTTCTAACACGCCCCCACATGTCTACGTCACGATGTGGGAAGATTTGCATAACGCCGCCCAAATGTTCACGCAAAGAAAGAAGGCGTAACTTTTATTCTCGCTGTAGTATTGTCGCCGCCATGTCGTGAAGGCGCTGTGTGCTTCGTTGTGAAAATGAAACTATTTTGTTTGGTCTTCCAAAAGAGGACGATATCTGCTTCGTCATGCCTGGAGCTGATCCGTGCTGGTCGCTGAGGAAATACATCAACGTTGCGCTGTGGATCGCCGGATCGGCTTTCACTGTGGACGAAGTGGAGTCCAGCCCGGGGTCGTCACATGTGGTTGCCGCAAGCCCGCCGGACGCTCCTTCGTCGAATCCGCCGGCCGCGCCGTTCTCAAGGCCACCCGCCTCTGCTCACTCAAGCCGGCCTCCGCTCACTCAAGCTTGCTGTGTGTGATGCTGTGTTTCGTTGTGAAAGCGAAACTACTTTGTTTGGCCTTCCAAAAGAGGACAGTTGTATTCAGTGGTTAAGTTGTATTTACAACACTGTTCCAGAACAGTTCAACCCAAATATTCACATGTGTGCAGCATATTTTATGGAGGACTGTTTCCGGATCCTGGTAGAGTAGACTACAATGTTCAATGTAACTGTTCTGACTCACAGACTGTAAGTACGTTTTTTATATTTAAAGAATTTGCCACTGATGATTCAAACCCGAGTTTTGAGCAGTGTAGAGTAACGTTTGTAGTTTGTCATTTCTCCAATCACAAATGCAGACATGGTTTTATGTTTACGCGGCG